TGAAAATTTCATTCCAATAATTCCACGCTAATCACTAATCGATTATCGGGGAAATAAAAATGGTTGTTTGTGTACCTCTGGTATACCACCAAAGTTTCACATAAATATTCATCATTAGCTAACAAATCTCGTTGATAAAAAACGAATGGTCGACTCGACTCGAATTACCACTCCAGTATTGAATATTTACCTGGCACAGAGAGATGTAATATAAGTGGACAAATAACGGGAATAACTAAATGAAAAAATTGAATCTCTTTAATGCAACGAGGTAGTAGTGGAATATATTATTCAATTCATTCTGTACGTAGAATACATGAGAAGGGTTTTATCAATGAAATGGGAGTTCCATTTGATTTCGTACCGGTGGCATCCGGTCGAATGCCATTGTCCTCGGTAGAGTTTCGGTTGGTGTGAGGTCTGTTGGGTTTATGAAAGAGAAGGGAAATGAAAATAAAATGAAAAGGGCCACGTTGGCTGTGTCGGTGCACTTGAAAACTGGTTGGTAGCCAAAAATCTTGCAGCCCTTCCACTTTTCTGCCTTTGGACTCCAAAGACTTTCTAAGAGCTGTCCAGCCGTTTTTTTGTTGTCTGCACTCTGGAGCAAAAAAATTGCCATATTTATCTAATTCGATTGTTACGATGATTTTTTTTCGTAGTTCAGTAGAAATCTGGAGGGAATTAATTTATAAATTGGTGAATGTGTTATCAATTATGTAGAGACTGGTGGAAACGTTAAGAAGGGGTAAAAATACGGGGAATGTCCGGGGAATCTCCATATACCTACATAGTCAGCATGCGTAACACCATGCATGCGATTTTGCTCACTAAGCGTGCTTGTCTCCGTGTCTTGAGACATCCCAAGAATGTGCCTGCCATGTCCGTAAATATTCCACCAACCGCGACAGTTACGAAGAGACAACCCGCGCCCGACAAAATCCGCGCAAGTATCACTCGGGTATTTTCGAATTACACCGTTGATCATTTTTATTTCCACAAAAAATTCCACTGCAACCATCAAGTGCATTAATAACACCGCAAAGGTCTTATTAGTATCAAGACTAGTTACACCATTGAAAACTCTGCATGAAATTTCTAGTTGAAGAACATGAATTTTTTGACAATGGTAAAGTAACATGAAATTTCTGGAGAATTTTTCGTTGACGAATCAATTAGATTTTTAATTTAATTTAATTTTTACCGGACCTCTGAGGACTTTTTCCCAAAAATCAAGGTCACCCCACGATTACGTAAAAATTCCGTAATATTTCGAGCATTTTTCTCCCCGTGCAGTATTTACATATAAAATTTCTCAATTTTCAACTTTCCACAATTTTGAAAAAGCGAAAAATGTATTTCAAAAACAACAGCACCCTTTCCTCATCGAGACGTAATTCTTCCTTCAATTTTCTCTCAAAAATTATCTGAAAAAAAAATTCCCGTGTTATAAAATTCTTCTTCTCTTATAAAATTCGGTCCAAAGCAATATTGTTTGGCATTGGAATTTCTAATTACATCGAAACATCGACCACGTGTGCGAGGCAGGTGTCAGTGTATCAGGTTGCAGAGTTGGAATCACGGAGAAACGGTAGAAAAGGTATAAATTGTCGAGGAGGAGAACCCGAAGAGAGGGCGGAGTTGAAGAGGGAAATAACAGCTGGTAGATGTGTTTTGCAGGCATGCCACGCGACAGCTGTCCACAGTACCTCCAAAATCCCTATCTGACCCTTTTGTACACGAGTACTTACCGGATATATCGAGAGAAGAAAAAGCTATCCAATATCGCACCTCGCTGCTCTGACGCACTCGTTCTCCAGTGCCCGATTAATTTTCCCTGATTTCCGATGATCGATATTAGAGAACAGCCGACGTTTTCATTTCTTATTCTTCAGCAAAAAGTAGTGGCTCTGCGCAGCTGCTGCTTTCAGACAAAATTCATCCACCGGACGTGCTTGGATTTTCAGTAGTTCTGTACTTTCCACCTGCTGCCTTTTTTCTCTCTCTCATCCAGATTATTTCTCCATGTTAATATAAGACTCGAGTGAAAAAAACGCGGTTCTACACAAGTCTCTTTGCTTGAGAATAAGCAGAGTGAAATGTATTGAATCGGCCGCGGAATTCAAGAACACATCTATTATTATTCTATTGGGTCGATACGATTCCGTGAGCAAAGGTCTTGACATGTTTTATAGAACGCGGTGGAATCTTATCTTAATATATTAAACGGGAGATTATATATTTGGAAGTTTAAAGATATAGCGGAAAAAAATAGGAGATATTCAATTAATTTTCATTACTGAATTGATATGCCATTTTTCAAAATCAAAAATCAAACTCGACTCAAGTCGAAATCGAAAATCGGCAAAATCGACTCAAATCGAAATCGAATATTTGACATTATCAATATGCGAATTTCGAGGTTTGCAGGGCACATTTGAAATAATGATCCCTACTTCCGGGGGTCAATATGGGGGGCCCAAATTTCAAGCATTTTGCTCTAGGGCCAAAACAGCTGAGATAATCGCCATTTTATATTTGAAAAATTTGACACTTTCAGAATGCAAAATGCGAGATGCTGCAAGGTGCATTATTTTAGTCGATATATTATTTAATTCAATTTTAAAATTTAAGTATTTAATTCAATTTTAAAATTTAATTATTTAATTCAATTTTAAAATTTAATTATTTAATTCAATTTTACTCGATTTTTAAGAAGTCGATTCAGTTATGAGTAACTATCGAAACGTGAATTATCATTCTCATAAAATATTCGCGATTGCATTTGAAAACGGGAATTTCATTAACGTCTCGGTCGCTAAAGCGGATGATTCTATAAGTGAAGACTTGATGTATAGAAATGTCGTTTTATAGGACAGAGAGATGCATCATTGCATCGTGAGTATAGACAGTGCACATAGTGAAACGGATGCGGCACGTGCTCTCGTGGATAAGCTGTATCGATAGAGAATCCAATCGTAGGTGATGGATTTCAATCGTGTGAGGACTTGAAATTTACACATCGATTTCCACTCAAAGTTGAGTCACGTATTTACTCTTCTGACGGGACAATGTTTTCATTTTTGTTGTGATAGGGAAATTGATAGCTGATCATTTCAATTCAGCATTTTCTGAATCAGAACTGTCTTCGATACGAATTATTGCAATTACAAATAGTTTATGATTTTTATCGAGACTGGCGAGAATGAAAATTTTTTGAATTAATTACTTTGCAATGAAATTTGTTTTAATACGTCAGCTTTTTATGAAAAACTTGTTATTTTCACTAGCTCAAGAGAAAAATTTCGGTAGGCGGAAAAAATATTCCCGGAAAAAATAGCCCACACACCCAAAACGTGTTAAAACCCACCCAATTTGATATTCCATAGGAAAATTAGAGTCCCTGAAAAAATAGACAACGAAAAAAATAATTAAATTAAAAAATAATTAAATAAAAAAATAATTAAATTGAGCGAGTTTTAACACGTTTTGAATGTGTGGGATATTTTTTCCCTGGGATATTTTTTCCGGGATTAAAAATTTCTTAGCCAATACACCGTCTACAAATTGAAGTACAACTGATTTAACCGTGCAATACATTATTGGAAAGTTCAGTTAATGCGATGACTTTTGTATTCCACAAACCCACATCGTCGAAAATCCCCTGGAATTGAATTCTCTCCACGACCATTAGCTCTCATTTTCCGTGTGAATGAGACCATCGATGTAAACAAGTGATAGTAAATCACCAGTAGAAGTGATCGGGAATATCAGACAACTGCAATACCCCAGTATCCTGTATCCACGAGCCTGAAATATCCGAAATGTAGAACAGGAGGTGAACTCAAGAGACTCAAACCCTGTGAGATTTCCATTCCCCATTCGTGCCTCACCCAATCGAGACATTTAATTATCAATTACCGAGCTTTTTTCCCCTTGAATATTAAATCTGGCAGAGCCCCATATTCTCTCAAGAGGTCAATTGATTTTCTAGATTGGCAGCCTCCCAAACTGCGAAACGAGAGCCTGACCTGGAAAATATATATTAAAAAAAAAATCTCTTTGAATACGCTTCCCCTTGTTTAAATCGAAAATAATTGAAATAAAAATCTTCTTGAGTGGAAAACTATACACTGGAGGTACGTTATAACGAGTTCTCCAACATATGGAACACCCACACACCGATCCAACATAAAACTCGACCTTTCATTTCTACGCGCCTTGAAATGTATCAAATGAAGCGAAATACGTGCAGTTATGGATTTTATCACCGAGTTTTCCACCGGAGTGGAAAATTAATATGCCTCACAATGGGCGCACTCGTCGACCGTGAAAATGAGAAAATTTAAAAACATATCACAGCTATTTTATTGCCTTGAGTTTTCAGTAATTGGATCGCTTCTGGTCACGTACCGCTGTATTTTCATTAATCAATTAGTACTACATTTTTAAATCAGTAATCAATCATGATAGGACATTAATACTTATTATATTATGATTCAACTGAATTCCATTCAATTCAATTCGTAAAATAATTTCAATTTATTATTATTCTTGTACTGTTTTTTTATTATTTTATTATATTTTTGTTATATTATTAGAGTGGGAACTAAATCCTCGTTTTAATGCTGAGATTTCTCCGACTGCGAATGCTCGATGACCTTTTGCAAAGCGTCCGCATTAAACGCTCGACGACGATGATCTCGATTTAGAGAGGCCACCCCCACCGTCTAGATTTTTTTTTTCTCATGTCAAAGGTTCTATTTGTCGACAGGCTATTGCCCATCCAATTACTTGATAGCCCCCGTAATTTCCCCTGAATTCAGGTCCTTAAAATTCTCCCTGAATTTAACTATTCCAATAATTCTCTACTGGGCGACATTTCTTGTGCTCCGGGAGAGGCAGATAGCACGAAACTTCTCGTAATTAATCCATCTGTAACTCAGGCTCACTCCAATTTTATCTCGTGCATTTATCATAGGATTCGTTTCTATGTTGATTAGGGAAACGAGTCTACAGACGACGACCGCAACTTGGCACAGGAATGACGGCTCTAGGAGGTCAACACCTAGCCCTAATACTCTTCATCCTGATGCACCATCTTCACCGCGAACTGCTCCTGGTTCTGTAAGTTTATTTACTGTAATTTATTTTCAATTACTGGAGGAACATTCGGGGAAATAGCGTAAGAGTTTCGTCACTCCGGCGAAAATTAACGAACGAATTGAAGTTTTTACGAGTGTTGTACATAAATTAGGTGAAAATCTGACTGAAAGTCTTATAAAATTTTAGATTCGTTCCGTGATTTTCTACAACTATTTCACTTCAATATTATGAAACTCTGACGTAATTTTTCGTGAATTATTCTCTGTGTGGAGTCCTTTATAGTTGACCTACTTCGTATGTTAATGAATTCGTTAAAAAATTGAATTAAATAAAAATACGCCACCAAATTTTCGATTGTAATGATGATTTCTGATGGATGACCGAATGACTTCCTATTGATTCAATGCACCACCATGAATTCTAAAACTTGAATAAAAGTATCCGGAAAATCGGTCTTTGTGTAAAGTTGAAGGAATAATTCAACATAAATCACCCAGAAAATTCCTGGCGCGAATTCCATTGTCGCGGGATTACATGCAACTGAAAATTCCATTGCGGGAATGTCTCGTAGAGCTAAGGGAAAAAACATTGATCACATAATAGTGATCACGAGGGGATTGTTATACCTTCACCATCAATCTTTCCACCTCTAGTTTTGTTTTTCTTTCCCAGAATTATTGCCCCCTCAATCGGAAGAGAATTTCCCTCTTCCCCAGTTCACCAGTACAATTAATGATTCAAAATCCTCTGTTTACGCTCTGCTATTTCCATTTACCACCGGTACTTGTTGTAGACTATTGGAATTATAATCTCCTGATGGCATGATCATCGTATAGAGTTAGTGTTTACGCAGCAACGGTCCATTACCCCAGGTTGTATCCTATTTAGCGCTGTCTCGTGATAAACCAGTCGTGAATACGTAATTTCAAGGAATGTATTCACCACCAGGAACAAATTGTAATTGCGTGTCAGTTTTAATATCCATGAAAATAGTGCTGAGTGGTCGATCATAAATTCAGAGGGAAATGTTTACCTTTCAAACTCAATGACTTGAGCACTGAAAATTGGTGATGTGGGTGTTGATGGTTTTATTGTCGTGCTAATATGAAACGAAAGGCTGGAACCATCATTGAGAGGATACACCTGAAGACCATGAAAATTAAAGAACAATTATGGGTGACACATTCAACTATTTCGACTTGATTGTTTTTATTTTTCTGTTCTTCAATTGCATTGAAGGAAAATTAAAGAGTCATGGGAAATTTTTGCTTCAATAAATTTAGAAACGTTATCAACATTGTAATTTTTATTCTTTTCTTTTAGCCTTCACCTGGACACCAATCAATCCCTCGGAATATGGAGAGAAGACGTGGTACCGAGATTAATCGCACCCAGCGACGGATCAAGGCCTCCAGCACGCCAACACTGCTCGATCCTGATGAAAGGTAACAAATGTCCCCCGAATTTCGTAAGAACTCTCATTGTAAAATAACGTAACTCTCCGAAAACCCCCAAATTCTTTCTCCTAATTATAAAAAATCCGGCATCCTCTGATCGAATTCAAGATTTTCCCAAACCCTCCGATTATCGAAGATATCACTGATATCTTAATAATTCATTCGCAATTGACAACTTAATTTTGGCAGACCAACGTTAACGCACAAAAATTTAAATAACTTTGTCAAATCAAATTGATCACTTAAATTTCCAGTGATTTAATGATAAATGAGATTGCCCGAAAATTGTGGAACAGCTATGAAAGCTGGAAGAAAAAATTCAACTTTCAAATAAATAATTGTTCCTTAAATAATTTTCGTATCTGATGATAAAAACTCCTGGCTTTAATCTCCAATTACAATGGAAATATTGATTTTTACATAAATAATCGTTGAATTGAGAAAAATATAGCTATATGAATTACTGTATAAATTAGTTTGAAAGAATGTTTTATATGAGCTAATGGAATTTTTTTTTAGTTCATAAAAGATATGCCAATATCCAAATATGTAAATATATGTGGTACAGGTAATTTAGTTTGTTTTTTTTTTAATGGTAAATTACGCCAAATGGGACTTTTTGACTTTTTTCAGTCCTTGAATTTTTTTGCCACTCACGTTCTTCTGTTATTAAGGTGTTAATGTAGAAGTTTGAAACTCGAAATTCCTGGCATTCTTTCTCATTACGAAGATAAAGACATTACCTTCTCTCTCTGCGCCTCGTTCGTGTGGCATTAGTGGCTCCACATTTCCCGACGTTTCTAATTACAATCTCAATGGAAGATTCCCGCTGGTTGAAACGACTCTTCTGACGTTTTTCCCCGAAAATTCGAGGGCATCTCCTTTTTTTTTCTCTCATATTACTATCCCCAAAAGACGAGTATGGTTCCAGACGCATATGGCTTCTTTCGTTAAGCCCCATTCATCTCCATAACGACTCAATGATGGAATTTTATGAGATTGTATCGCACTCTTCTTTTTGTCAGACTCCAATTGAATAGGAAATTGCGTCTGGACCGGTTCCTTACAGGGAGTACAATCACAAATTTAATTTGGTTGACTACTCAGCTATTCAGAACATTATTAAAGACATCTCTTAAGCCAATTAATCATAGGTTCACGAGATTTCTTTATGATTTCGAAGAAGTTTTTTACATATCGCAACTTTAACAAATTTCGATTGGACAGTCATCTCGCGCATTAAGATATTTGTCTCAATTATTAATTCTCTAGAGCAGAATTCATTTCTTTCTCCTTGTGAATGCAAATATCATTTCATCTTTCATTCCAATTTTAATTTAATCTTCAACTGCAAATTTAGGGAAGTATTCCAACGAATTAAAATAATAAATAAAAAGTTTTTTATCTTAGTAATGGTTGTTTAATATTTTTCACGGGGAAAGTTACAGTAAAAATTACGAAATAATGTCAGTAAACCGAGAATAAGGGATTGCGGTAGATCTATTGCTGTCATATATCCAGAAGTCGAGCTAATACCTCATATACAAATATACTGCGTCATATTTACCATGAAAACCGCAGTACTCCATATTTTTTACTGTTTTTTTTTTACTGTGACGTAAAAAGGTGCACGGCATATGATCCACACGTTACTCCCACGGCGTGTCTACCTGCAAACGCCCTGAAATGTCCCTTTTCCTGGAAGGGACGAAAGCAAACTCGCCGACAATTGACCACACCCTCAGACCCCTTGTACTTCCGCTCCGTGTGAGTCCAAGTCTCGTCGCTTATCCAAGTGTTTTCCCTCATTTATTTCACATCTATCAACAGAAAAAGTCGAATCAATAGAGAAGAGGTACGACGCAACAAGTAGAGTTATTCTCTAGTCCAGTTGCTGAGGAATAGAAATATTTCTGAATCCATGAGAGATACCGAAATTTTTGTTGAGACTTTTTTGTAGCTCTTAGTCGACTCGACAGAAAAGATTTAAAGAAAAAAATAGGTAGCTCTCTTAGATTCCGAGATATTCCTAGAAAACTTAACTACGGTCTTAAAAAAAAACGAAATATGATTTTTCGGAAATTTTCGGAAAGAGTTCTGCTTGATTTTTCCATGAAATCTTTAATTTTCAGTGCCAAATTATTCAGATATTGTAAATTGGAATTATTTTTATGGCTCACATTTTGCTACTCACATTTTCATTGATAAAATTCGCGAATTGATTTCAGTCGACAGTGGTCGATAGACGATGGGCATCAGTCCCACGAGGAGACACCCAGGAGACGAGAGCTGAGCACAGAGCATCCCCTGGTGGAGGCAACAATTCCCCTCGTTCGACACCCAAGACTCCAAGATGCCACTGGCTCCTCCAACTCCCAGAGTACCGAGACCCCCAGCTATCGCTCTCGTGACAATTCCCAGCAGGAAAGTGTCCTTCAGAAATTTCGCAAGAGTTTTTCCCTTCGATTTCACAAACGAGGGAGCAAGGAGGGAAGCACCGATGGCGATGGCCAATCAATTCCCCAACATCCACCAGCACTACCTCCTGATGATGATGCCGACTCTGCGTTGCGGGGCCTGAGTATCGAGGGGGACCGAGAGAATGAAATTCCTGAGTTCCAACAGCCCCAGCATAAAGAGGAGTTCGGAGGGGATCAAAAATTTCGGTTAGTATCCAATTTTTTTTACATTTCCATCACTACAGCGTTAGCTCAGATTTTTATTCCACATAATTAATTCAATTTAATAGCAAAATGGTTTCTAATTGTAAATAATCATTAATTTGTCAATGAATTGGATTAAATTTCAGATTTGGACCCCTCGTGTGGCGTTCGAGTAAAGAACGAAAAAAACACAATAAGGCAGCTCGCAATGCCAAATGCAACAGTGGAGACAGTGGTATTCAAATTGAGGTGAGTTTATTCATGAGACTAAATATTGAAATAATAAAAAAAGAATGAAGAGAAAAAATTAGGCTGGTGCTTGTTGGGTCATACATTATTCATAAAAACGCGAAATGAATGAAAAAAAAAATGAAGAAACAAGTAATGAAAGTCAAAGAACGAATACTGGTCATTAATATCCGGGGACTTGTGAGGGTGGAAGCAATTCGAAAAACCCACATTTGCTATCCTCTCGCAGATGGTATCTGGCGGAGCATCGACTGGGGGCTGTGGAGGCGGAACGAACATTGGCGATAGTTCAGAGTCGCACGACACCGATCCGCCGGATGAGACCGACAGTCCGCCGACATTACGGCGTCGAGTCAATGAAAAATATCGACCCCAGTCAGAGCTCATCAACCAGATACTCATCGACAAGTTAAAGGTAATGATTCTCCTGGGGATAATACACTTTGAGAATATCAAGTACTCGAGTACATTTTTTCCCCTTATTTTTGCGATTTGATAATTCATCAGTGAAAATATTTATAAATATAGGACTCATACAGCTGAAATAATTTTACACCTCAGCCAATAGGAGAAATACGAGAAGAGTCAATCTTTTCCGCTTAGAAAAATTTTCGAAGCTTTGCCTCATAAATATTTTAAAAATGGGACGTGATCAGTCTGTAAAGCCCTCGGGCGGAAATCGCAACGAATTGAGGAGTCAAAAAATATAGGTTCTGTGGAGACTGCGTTATCAGCGCGCATGTTCTTATCACTCTTGACCGCATCCTCGGGAAGGAGACAAGGCACGTCGTGGCGCTTTGTGCTGATTAATAGCGTCAAATCATTCGTTTATTCTATCCTGCAAACAATGAAAATTGATACGTCCCCAGGCGGACTTGCAGCAGACTCGGGGCACTCGTCACTACAACGTGCGTCGTACAAACAGCGATCTAGGTGGTCAGAGACTTCTCCAGTGGGACACACGTGGGTACAGCACGGCCCTCCAGTACAGACGAATGCTATCAACCCCGTCTCCCATAAAGACACGACCACCAAGGCTCAGTCCGAGACATTCCTCCCACGACATCGTTACGCTCAGAAGGTAAAATATTCACGAGATACTAAACCCTCACCACAAATTTTATTTTTCATTTGTCTAAATTCGTAATGCGCTGTTGAAACTAATTGGAATTTTCAGAAGAAAATACTAATTTTACGATTTATCAGACTCTACACTGTTGAAAATTTCTTGAAATTTCAGTCACTATTGAAAATTTTCTTATTTATCTTGAGAATTCAAGATAGAATATATGAAAATTTTATCCAGGATATCTTTCCCCAGGTGACTCCGGGAAAACTCCGGACACCGTTTTTCAGTGTTGCAATTACCAGAATATAAAAGAATTAACGGATTCATAAATGAAAAATTCCACAAAAGAATTCACGTGATCCAGTTAGAAATTTCTCATTTTTTTCTTTTTTTCTTTTTTTCTTTTTTTTCAAATTTCAAGTGTATTTTTTCAACAGTGTAAAAACCGTATGAAAAGAAATGTCCATTAATGAATATAATTGGCATAGCATTGTGAAAATAGCCAAAATTCTGAGATACGTTTCTAACAGTGTAAATCATTCAAATTAATTTGTCTTGAATCACAGCATTCATAAAAATCGTGCCTCATTTCATCTAACTAGCTCTTCTCTCTCCAAGCTCAATGTTCTCTCATTTGTATTTACCGGCGATTGTAAGCGCCCAGAAAAAAAAAAGCTTTTGAGTTGAGCACGATTGACTCTAACAATACTCTCTGTCACTTGAAAGAGGGATAAAAGAAGTACATGAGAAAGAAAATGGAGAAAATGGTTGGGCGCCAAGTAAATGTCGTGTCAAAGACGACAGCAATATTGGCAGTACTATAACAGGAGTCAAGTGTTTCTTCTATTCATTTCTATTCACTCGTCTCAATCGTCACATAAATAACTCAACATTATATTGGTTTATTTAATTATTCATTTATTCCTGATAATATGAAACAAAACAGATCGGCATAAATTTAAAAGTTATTTGTTCGAACCTTTCCAGTAAATCGAGGGAACCTAGTGGTAGGTAGACGGGTGAATCATCTAATAATAATTAAATCCTCGTAAACAGTCTTCTTTGGATTGCCAAATGACCAAAATAATAAAAAATACCATCACCGTAATATTTGTTCGTATTTAACCGCATTCATACGTATTGTTGCTGAATGTTCTTGTAATTTATCGAGCTTTTTTTTTGAGTAATTACTTGGAACACGCTTGTGAATTCCTTCATGATATTATTATCCCTGTTATCCATTTTGACCACCTATCTATGACACCAACACGATGATTTCGTGACAGTTGCAGTACTCCCCATCTTCCCCAGAAATCATTTGAGAAATGAGAGACAATGATTATTTTTTTAAAGAAAATTGCACGGAAAAAATCGCTGGGTTTTTATTAAAGGATGTGTAAGTCCTTTGAATTTTTTTCAATTTCAATTCTCCTCAACATTTCTCTTTACATTACCGAATGTGCAGCAAACACATTATTATAAAAATTTTCTAGTCCTCAATTCCTCAATGTTAAGAAAAATTTTGCTATCTGTAAAATTCAGAGATTTTTAAACAATTCTAACATGATCTAATTGACAAAATGGAAAAGAGGAATTGTGAGAATCTCGTGAACTTGAATATTCGGAAATGGAAAAAAAATCAATCGATTTTTCATTACAAAAAAAATTAAAACTCAGAAAACTGATCTGATATTTGAAAATCTTCTCCATCCCATTTTTCCGTGCAAGACATCACCCCAATAACCCGCGGATAATTACCAAATCCCGACCTAAAATTAACATATTAATTTTTCCTCGCAGTAACGCAAAAGGGAGAAACTCTCGAACGAATCTGAGACGTTCGCTGAGTCAGCCACTGGGAATAAATCAACTGTCACCACTCATGCGCACCAAAACTGCAGGTGAGCGAAAAATCATTGACAATAATGTAGTTATTATCGACGGATATTTTCGAATATCATCTGTTCATGATGTACGCACCCACCATTGCCTCTTCACGGATCATTAAGCCGCTATTTCCCGTTGATGACTATAGCCTTTACGGTTCCATAATTTCCTAATGTGCAACGACGTAGATATAGACTTCTTTGTCTCCAGACTATCTTTGAGTTAATCAATAGACTGCATGCTTGAATCATCCAGAGTTGAGTGTTTTGGTGCGAGAAAAAAACAATAAGATTAGGTTTGATTCATGCCTCCAATGAGATCTTCTCTGAGAGGGATTGGTAATGAGGCTGCTTGATTCATATTCCATCTTTAATTCACTGAGAGAAATCATAATGTATTTATCAACCATCAGCATTAATCATTCCTTTTGTTATATTTTTATAAATTGTAGAGAAAAAATCAACAATATTACGTTAATCTTCATTGAGAGTAACTGTTACGAATTTTTATCTCAATTTTTTGGACTGAATTTCGAAAAATTTTCAGACAAAAAACAGAAAAATGAAATGAATTCATATTTAATTGAATTTATATTTTTTAATTTAAATTGTTATCATTATATTAAATTTGATACACTTTTATTTATAGTTATATTTAATTTCTATCATTTAATTTTCCAATAAGATTTTCCGGAAGTTGCGGTCAATGAAAATGTTCTGAATACAACCAGAAAATTAAAGCGTAAATTTGGAAAATTGTGGTATTGATTTCTCTCAGTGCATAAATGGAGCATTAAGTATTAATCCGGGTGCATCGACAATAGGTGCGAGATTTCCCGGTGGTCATGTCCTATCAGAGGACGAACACGATCTGAGGTGTGGAGGAAGCGGTGGTATTGGTATTGGTACGTCTGATGACGAGATGATGTCGGATTCTGAGTCATCGATTGCCTCTCTGACGGAGAGGAAGAAGTCTTTTGAGCAAGCCATGGATGAAGAGTTAGCGATACTTGCGGAGGCTGTGTGGGATCATGTGGCTATTGAGCCTGAAGAGCTTGCATTCCGGGCTGGGGATCTTATTGATGTGCTTGACACACTTGATAAGGATTGGTGGTGGGGCAGTTGCCGAGGTGAACATGGATGGTTTCCCGCCGCATTCGTCAGGGTAAATATTCCACACAAATATTCAACGCAAAATTCATCATTTTAACTTAAAATTTAGGAAAAATAGAAATTTAATATTTCTGCATTTTTATTATTTTCAATTTGTCATGAGATTCTGAGAGTCTGAGATGGTTTTCCTTCTTGAATCTGAGTGAATAAAAGTTTCATGTTCTTTCGAGCAGTTACGAGTCAGCCAAGACGAGACGGTGGAAGATCGTCTGGCGGCGATGGTGTCAGGTACTGATTCTACTCAATCACGCAGACGAGCGAGCATCTCGTTGCTGTCGAATGAACAAGTGAGGAGCAGTGTTGTACGTGAACTCGTTCAAACTGAAAGAGACTTCGTTAAAGTCTTGAGGGATGTGGCAGAGGGGTACGTCGCCGAATGTCGCAGGAGAGTGGATATGTTTACTGAGGAGCAGATCGACACGATATTCATCAATATCGAGGATCTCCTGGAGTTCCAGTCAGAGTTCCTGAAGGATCTCGAGGCGAGAATCGACTGGAATGCGCCCTACAAAAGCTGTGTAGCTGAATGTTTTCTTATCCATGTGAGTTTAAACTAAAATTCATGAACAAATTAATAAACTATTCAATTCCCTGTTTATTTAATGACTTTTCTGCGTACACGAGGAAATCAATGATGTAGAGATTATCTTGAATACGAATTTGTCTAATTAATTTATCTGATGATAATGTAACTGAATGCCAACAGAGAAATGGTTTTCGTATGTACTCGGAGTACTGCAACAGTCACCCGATGGCGATGGTAACTCTGCAGGAGCTCTACCGACACAACCGTTACAGTAAATTTTTCGAGGCCTGTCGATTGATGCGCGGTCTCATCGAGATCCCCCTGGACGGTTATCTACTGACACCCGTCCAGAGGATCTGCAAGTATCCCCTGCAGCTGGCTGAACTCCTCAAGTATACAAAAACCGATCACCCAGATTATCACAAGATACGAGAGGCCCTCGATGCTATGCGAGCAGTGGCTGTCCTGATAAACGAGAGGAAGAGGCGGATGGAGAGCCTCGAGAAACTCGCTGCTTGGCAACTGCGACTAGAAGGATGGGAGGTAACTATTCCTTTTTGCTTTCTTAGGATCATCATACATAACCGGATTCCTCGGGGCTCGTGATTATATTGTTTGCCGTTTCAGGGCGAAGACCTCATCGAGGTGTCCTCACAATTGATCTACCAGGGTGATGCTGTAAGAGTTACGACTGGAATGTGGACAAACAACATAACTTTATTCTTGTTTGACCACCAGCTGGTTTATTGCAAGAAGGATATATTGAAGCGCGATACGTATATTTATAAGGGACGAATTTATCTCGATACTAGTGAAGTCATTGATGTGCCTGATGGAAAAGGTAATTTTTATCTGATTACACCGTCATTGATAACACTATCAATTAGACTCACTTTCATACCGGACCAAAACTAAACGAACACTGAAATCAAGCAAATTGTAATCTGAAATATTAATAATAATAACCAAATTGAATGATTGCACCGTGATTAAAATAACTTGTAATAAAATGAATTGACTTCCTAGATCACCAATTGGGAGTGACGGTGAGACACTGTCTGAAAGTGTACAGCTGCGTGCGAGATAAGTGGCTGCTGTTCTGCTGCAGATCAGCTGAGGAGAAGCGAAAATGGTTATCAGCGATGGCAGAAGAGCGTCGTCTAGTAGAACAGGATCGTAACGAAGGCCTGGAGTTTCCAGCAGCGGCTCGTCAACTAGCACGTCTGGCAGCAACAAGACAACAGCGTTGCCGACCACCAATAAAGCCCCGCAATAAAACTTACAAGCACGAGGCATACGAGATGCCAGTATTCCAAGCAAACTCGTCCAATTCTCTCGGTCGAAAAGTTGGCACATGGTTCACATTTGGCAATAAAAAAGGTACGAGAATGCGACCATCCTGAGCCAGGCCCACCTTCGTGCCCTACATCGACTTGTGATTGAGTTATTAATATTAAATAAATGGCACGGAGGTGGCTATTTCCCCACTGAATATATTTAAAAAAAAAATATCTGAACAATTGTCAGACCCAGCAAATTGTAGACGTATGAGCACAATTGTTGATTATTAAATTGAATAGTCATAAAAATTAGTCTGAGAAACAACTCGAATGCAACGACATCAACCAACGCCAAAGCCGCTTAAGAATTTTCAAGAGTCTGTAGAACTAGCCACTTCGTTTGTAGATGACAGTAATTTTAGTCGAGCAAACGTTATGACAATAGAGACGTCGAGGCGGTACCTTTGTAGCTCCATTAGCTATTTTAGTATACTGATTGTAAGCGAATACATTAATGGTTGTACTTAATATAACATAATCAGATTAATGGGAATATAACGTCAACGAAATGAAACGCGTTTTAACGAAAGAACTTCCAACGTTTACATCTTTCAAAGACTGAGGGCAAAGTTGAAGGATTACGATAGGAAGATTCAAGTGAGGAGCTATTCCATCCTAACTATCGACTGCCTGTTACTTCTGCGCAATAATAGTGCACCGAATATTATTATGAATTAGTGATGATGAGTGGGAGAGGCACTGTCGCACCTTCTAATGATCACAGCACTTCATGATCTTTTTGGAGGGGATTTCGAGTGCATTGGGAAGTTTTTGATAATGAGCTGATAATGTTCGGGAGAAAGTCAATCTGTCACTGCCAGTTTTAAAGAATCATTTGGATGGAGACGGACTGGTGATTGAGGGGAATCGGTGAGTGGGTGGAGTTTATTATTTTAAAGCACATTATATTTTCTATAGAGGTTGTGAACGATTGTTAAAATATCGTGGGTTATCGAGCATCTTGGATATTCCTAAATAGACACGCACATCTTTTTACGAGAATATAAGGGACTATATTATGACGTAAAGGTTTGGGAGCTGATGTCGCTCATGTAGCGGTGGAAAAATTCTGGACGAGCAGTGAATTTTCTCGTTTTCTTCAGGATAAGGATTAGTAGATGAGGAGATGACAATATAAATTGATTGGGTAGTGAATTTTTTCTTATCGAGTAAGAAGTGTATAAATAGGATTTAATCGTGGGAACAGGAGTTAAATGCGTACAATATTTGTTGGCTGAACACAACTCTTTTCAGAGTTATTTTTATAGATGAAATTGTTGTACGATTTAATGTGGGGGGACCTCTTCGGGTTTTTGAGTGAAATTTTTGTCTCGATAGGGAGGAAAATTCAGGATTTATTTTTTGGCATTTGATTATCATTTTTGTCTGATGGGATGATTTCATCCAAAGACCCGATGGAGAGGATTCGATCCTCAGAATGAGAATTATTTATTGTGGGAGATACTGATAATCCCAGTTATGATTATTATATCGTAAAATTAGAATCCATCAGTCCAAAAATTAGAGGGGATCGAATATTCCCGCATATCTTGTTTGGAAATCGGAAATCACAGGAAAAATAGTAGAAATTAGAGGAATTAGAATGGAAATTATAACTATTGACAGGACCTAATGAGTTATTCCTGGAATGCACATGTGCATTTCTGTGTACATATTGGTTAAATGTATTGGATAGTTGTAAATAAAAATGTAGTGATGCAGTAGTGACGTAGGTGTGACAGTCTACTTATGTTCTCCGACTGTTTTGTTCCATATGCTGTTGAGACAAAGTTATTGTTTGTCCGGATAATTTATGTATACATGTGGAATGGAGAATTTGTTCGATTGTTTTCCCTTATGGTGTACAGTTTAATCATTTGAACATGGCATTACTATTGTTAAAAGATGATTGTTTTCATATTGGAGAGGAAAATATATATGATATATATTTACACACAGGCACACATGATATACTGAGTTACACATGTGTAAATAAACATTTTATAATTCAATGTTTGTGGGTATTTATTCAACCAGTCTGAAATAATTTTTAAAAATCGTAATTTTTTGAAAAATGGAATCACTTAAATTTTTTGCCCATATGTGACCTTTAATCAAGTCCAATTAATCCGTAACCAAATCCAATGAACCCTTAAGCAAGTCCAATTAACCCTTCATCAAATCCACTTAATCCTTTACCAGATCGAAAATTTCGCAACACGCAATGCTGGGGTGTTTTTTTCTTATTAACCAAGTTTTTATTGCAATGCTGGGGTGTTCATCAAGTCGACGGGGTGAATTTTATTTTCTGCTGTACGAATGCTTTTTGTTTTTCATTTGTTTAACTGAAATTTAGCCGACTGTAGCACGTACGGAAGGGGGAAACCACATCTTGTGAAATTTCAATGGAAAAAATTATTCAATATGTTGAAGATATACCACTAATGA